TCAAAAATTGCTCGAATGATCCTGTATAATTCGATTTCGTACTTTGATTGGCTTATGTACGAATTGAAATCATACAGTACAATCAGTACAAAATTGAACCAATTTATCCAATACTATTCTATAAGAACTAATTTTTTACTTTGTATAGCATACTGCATAAAATTAATATCGGTTTAATTTAGTACTGTATAGTACGATCTGTTTAACCAAAATCATGTTTCATTTGGTATGAAAATGGACGAGTCCATTTCGTATTCTAGATGTCGTTTGTATGAAACTAAGATCGTATAGTATGATTATTTCAAAAAAAATTCAGTTCGTTCGGGACAGACTAATACGTAGCCATTTCTTACTCTGGATGTCGTCTGTATGAATGTAATTTCGTATAATATGAACATGACTTAGAAAATTTTTCCTGGCATGATTTGATTAATTCCATCCTGGAGGAACATTCGATCAAATCGTCCCGTATGATCCATGATCATACAATATGATTAATTTTAAAAATACAAGTTTTTTTACACTCCCCCAGTGTGTGTGCACGGTTACCCAATTACAATAACATTCTCTCATACTCAAGAAAAATATAAAAAAGTATATACTTCAATTATAATAAATCAAATCTTATCTATATTGAAGTCTTTAGCAATCTAGAGGATGATTTTCGTGCAATGTTAGTACTCACAAATAATAAAAATAATATTTATAATATATGCTAGGAGAAACAGCAGTCAATACAATAAAATATTGGAATCATAGAAAACACATGATATAAAAATATAGTTATGAGAACTAAGTTGCAACACCCTTTAGTTGTGTTTCATAAAGTACAGTTGCAAAAAAGCCTCCCAAATGCAACCTTCGCTGCAATGAGTCACTTCTTCGGTTCGTTTGACGAACCCTTCCTGTCAGATCGGAAGTCGCTTCTTCAATTCCTCGGATGACATTTTAATCGGTTGTAACGATGGGAGCTCACTCGCTCGCAGTGAAGGTATTTCTCCCTTTCTCACACTAAAGGCCTATTTGGATGCATGTAGGAATTAATTTAAGTATAATTTCATAAATCCTCTAAATCCAGAATTATTGAATCTAAAGAGGTTTAAATCCTAAAAACTGTTTTGTAAAAAATATGTTAAATCTTGACAAATCTGGTGAGATTGTTTAGCAATGCTATTCAAGATTTAAGACAATTAACTCATATAACATTTGTGTTTTAAATATGAGTAACTTATTTATTTTATTTTAATTAAAACAAATAAATTATAATTATGAATACTATAATTAGGTTGTTATTTTAATAAGTATTTTACTAATAACTTAGTTAATTATTTTTTTGGGAAGTAATTAGTTATTATTTTAAAAATTATTTTAATTCTAATTATAATGATAACTATCTAATTAATTATTTAATTATAATTTAAAATAATTAATCATTAATTACTTTTTTTATTATTTATTTCATTAATTTTATTTACTATTTTAGTAAAAGTTTAATTAATAATTATTCTTATAATTATTTAATAAATCAATTAAATATTTTATTAATATCTAATTAATTATTTAATATTTATACTATTAAGTATTTATTTAATATTGCCATTGCTTGCCTAGGGTTAGCTTTTCATCTTCTACATTTATTTGTTGTTGTTATGCTTGTGAATTCTTGTGAAGTAGAGTTCTGAATGGGTCCAAACTTCTTCGCCTCCTCCTCTAACGTTTGCCTCCTTCGCTAACATTGTTCTTGTAAGATCAGAAGTCACGTCGGGAGCTAGCCGCAAAGTTAACGATGTTTCTCCCCTTTCGCGCTCTTCTTTAGTCATGATTCTTTTTCGCTCGCGCCACACGAATGCCTTAAATCCATCGAACAGAAGGATTTCATAAATCTGGGATTTACCATGAGAAGAGAGAGTTTTTATCAACCACGACTTTGATTTACTGTGAGATTTGGTTTTGCATTTTTGGTTGTTTGGCTGGATTTAGCTCAAATCCGCCCCAAATCCAGCCTAAGGGGCAGTTTGGCAACAAGTGGGATTTAACTTTAGTGGGATTTAGTAAATCTAGATTTAGTAAATCCTGAGGGTGTTAAATCCTAAAAACTATTCGATATTACAAATGTTAAATCTTGTTAATTCCTGAGAAACTATTTGATAACATATTTAAGAATTTAGGATAATTATGGATTTAAATATAAAGAAAATAATTATAAATTCAAGATATTTGCATACAACATAAAAATACAACTTGAATTCATAGAATGTAACCGAAGAGTGGGGAGGTGTTTTCAAAGCTTAATATGAAGTGTATAAAAAGATATTTAAATACCTAGATGCCAAGCAAGAGTTTGAAAAATACCATGATAGGAATACACTGACCATTTGAAGGAGATCAATCATAACCTCAGAGGGAAGTAAGGCGAAGGATGGGGGAGGATCTAGAGGGACTGGACATCAAGGAACTGCGTGGTCTTAAGCAAAATATGGATTAAGTTTTAAAGCTTGTACATAATAGAAAATATCATAATCAGTACCCAAACTGACACCTTCAAGAAGTTGTAGAACTTGTTGAAACTTGTTCAATATGAATTAGGTTGTTAGACCTAAGCTTATATCCCAGCGGCTAACCAAGAGGGGGGGGGGGTGAATTGGTAAATTAAAAATTATCCCTCTTTTGAAATTTAAACCGAAAATAAATTTAGTGAATTTTTGTAGAAAAAGGTTTTTCAACCACAAATTAAGCGATAAAGTAAAGTAAAAACAAAAGCAGCAGAAAATAAAAAAACACAAGATTTAAAAATAGTTCGATCAGACACGACCTACATCCACTCCCCATAGGCACCCTCTGAGTATTGCACTAATACCACTAGTGACTCTCCTTTTGCACCCATATCAAGGCGGAGAAGCCTTCACAAAAACTATCTTCCACCACTATCCGGTGAGGTAGAGAACCGTCGTCCTTTTATACTCTCCAAGTGTTGGTAGAGAACTATCGTCCTTTTACACTCTCCAAGTATTGACAGAGAATCGTCCATCCTTTTACATTCTCCAAGTGTTGGCAGAGAACCGTCCATCCTTTCACACTCTCCAAGTGTTGGCAGAGAACCGTCCGTCCTTTCACACTCTACAAGTGTGGGCAGAGAACCCTTCGACTGTTCACACTTTCCAAGTGTAGGCAGAGAACCCTTCGTCCTTTCACACTCCACGAGTGTCGGTAGAGAACCGGATCTCCTTGATAGATCTTCCCATGAGAAATCTAGAAGGACGAGAGAAAAGAGTGAAGTAATCAAAAATCACAATTGGAGATTCTTACCTTTGAGAACCAAATGAATCATTCACGCTCCAGTAGTAAGAATCCTCCATCAAACACTCTCTCACACTCTCTCCTTCACTCTCCCTTCAGTTTACACGAAGATAAGTAGGCAAAAATATTACATGATAGTTTTAAGTGGACCTTATATAGGAAAGACATGAAAAACCATCAAAAAAATTGCTGACTTTCAATTTTGTACACAGTCGATTGTCCTGGACGATCGTCAAATTGTCCTGTACGAATAGTGTAAAAATAGTTGCATATGAATCTAATGTATATTGGTATGAACTGACTTCAAACCCGATTATCTTTCCGTACGAACTAAGTTCGTCTTGGGACGAACAGTTATATCAAGGTTTCATTTGGACGAAACTGTAGGACGGTCCCAAATTTTCAAGGAACAGAGGACATCGTCCTGGGATGAAGATGAGTGTTCGTCTGGATGAATAGTTCATGTCATGTGTCCAGAGAACTTCGTCCTGATACGAACAGGATGAATTGTCTAGACTATCAGCACAAAGGAGAATCCAGAGCCAATCGTCCTGGGACGAATTATACACTTCGTTCGGACGATCAATACAAAGTGAGAAATCCAAAGTCCATCGTTTAGAAACTAATGGTACACTTCGTCTGGACGAACAGTTCAAAGTGAGAATCCAGAGCACATCGTCCCTGGATGAATAGGGAAATTCGTCTGGACGATCAGGACTTAGAAAAATTTTCTCACTTCCTGTTCGTTCCATTGCTCTTCCGAGGGAATAACTAACCTGATCGTCCCGTACGATAAATATGATTTTTTAAAGATCTCCCCAAGTGTGTGTATGCTAAGCTACTCAATTACAATCACAATATCTCAAACTCAATAGAATGAAAAATATAGACTTCAATTTACAAACTATGATGTGCTGAATTTGATTTGAATTCCTCAGTAGTCTGGAGTACGATTATCCTGAAATATTAGTCCACACAAGAGCAAAAATAATTCTTCAAAAAAATGTTAGGAGAATATAATACTTAAAACAATAATATTTGGAATCATCAAAATTATACAAGTTGCAAAAATGTAAAACATGCAAATAGCAACTCTCTTAATAGAACTCCCAAGAAACACACCGAAACTTAATGCGCGAAATGGTAGTTGTTGAGGACCATACTTGCTTTGGGTTCGACGAGCAATTATGAGGGCGTTCTTGCCCTCACAAATGAAGGGTCTCACATGTATGCCTTTAGTGTGCAGCCTAGCTAGACAAACCTTCATGAAATGGGATATTGTCTGGATGATCTTCGTCTCGCTTGATATATGCATAGCAAGTGCACGCGAACAAATGCATTGCTCCATGTTCACAAAGATATATGATATTTGTTGTTGACATCCAATTAATGTAGAGCTAACTGTAGCTTGTTGTTATTTAAGATATAATTCTGTGACTAAGTGCTTATGAAACATGCATTAAATGTTTGTCCTAGTAAAAAAAAATCATGATAGGAACTTCTCATAGGGTGTTAATAATTATATAATTAATTAGTTAATTTTTTAAATAATTAATTATTTAACTAATACTTCTATTGATAATTTAATTAATTTTAGTCAATTAATTTATGCACTTATTATACTATTAATTATTTAATTAATTTACATAATTAATAATAATTTAAATTATATTAATTAAGTTAATCAATTACATGTCGTTGCTGTTTGGCTTCGTTGCCTCGCAGGAGGTGTAGTGATTTCCTGAGTCTCTTCTTGGGCTCCTTCGTTTCAGTTCGACTTCGCTCCTTCGACGACTTTTCCTTCCTGTCGCGGTGTTGGATCGGAAGTTACGACATTTTGATCGAAAGCAACAACGGGAGATCGGTGGCTGTGAAGGTAACTTTCTCCCTTTCGCGCTCTTCTTTGGCCAAATCCCGTAAATCCGCCGAACTAAAGGATTTAGTAAATCCGGGCTTTACGGAAACAAGAGGGAAACGCAGGATTTATTCCGCCGATAGATTTACGGGGCGCTCAAATCCCGTTTGGCGGGATTTAGCATAAATCCTGCTCAAATCCTGCATAAATCCTGTTGCCAAACGGCCCCTAAATCCTGCATCAAAAAAGCACCTAAATCTTGCTCAAACCCTGCATAAATTCTGAATTCAAACAGCCCCTTCACCTTGTTCGCATCAAAAAAAGATGGGTAAGGATCGGGACCGCAAACGCAGAAGACGAAGAAGCTTGGAAACCAGTAGCTCCTCCTCCTCTCCCTCTTCTTGCTCTGGCAGCGAAAGCGAGGATGATAAGAAGCGGAGGTCGCGGCGAAGTCATAAGTCGAGTCGGCACCGGGAAAAGAGTAGGCATCGAACAAAGGAAGAGGGCGCCAGAAGAAGCTCACGAAAAAAGAAGTGGAGGCAGCGTGAAAGGTCGCCGAGCAGCGTCAGCGGAGATGTCTCCTTTTCCTCTGGTCATGAATTGTCTGAGCTTAAGGCTATGAAGCCGGAGGCTGTTATTTGTCTTATCTTGGAGAAATTCCCTGATGTTGCCCATGATCTTGAACAGGTATTTCTTTCTTTGTTGTTTTATTTATTTCTCTAGTTGTCTGTGCTAGTGTGTTTTGTTCTTTGGTTTTTGTAGATTTTGATATCAGACTACTCAGGAAGCATAGGACAAATAATGGTTTTACGTCATGTGCATTTTTCAATTACTTTTTTTTTTCTACTTTATTAATGAATTATAAGATAGGTAAAGGTATGCGATTGTGATATACATTTTTCTCTTGATATGCTGTTTTTCATTTCAGCTTTTGCAACTTGTTGACAGCGGACAAGGTGTTGATATAAATGGAATTTCAGACAAGTCATTTGTCAGACTCTTAAAAAAACTTTTCTTGTCCTTGAATCTCAAAGAAAATGGAAAAGGGGTTTTCTCGCTCCCCTCAATGGCAGTGCCTATATTAAAGCTCATTGGATCTCCGTTATGCTCACATATTAAATCCAGAGAAGATCATTCTGCAGTTGCTGGATCACTGAATGGGCAACAAACTTCTCCTTGTAAAAAATCAACTGAGAATCGAGAAATCAATGATCCAGACTTGATAGAACAAGAAGAGAAAGAAGATTATTTGGTTCCTCGTAAAAGGTGATTTTTAACTATAGTAGATCTGATATTATTTCTGTATTATATGGATTGTTAATTGCACTTTTTCATGACAGTGGTAGACTTGTTGCTTGATATTATATTTATTTTACACCTATGCATTTGCCCATCAATATCTATGCGGCTTTCAATGCAAGTTGATCATATAGGTCTTCTGTTACATATTTTTACTATTTCTATGTTGAATTTTTGATGGATTTATTTATTTATTTTGATTACTTTTTTTTCTTTTTATATTATGCTTTTATATTTTGATGTATGAATTGAGGTTGATTTATAGCATTCCAAACCCATATGTGCTTATGTAATTTCAGTTTCTTATAGGAAGTGTTGCTGGCTATGATCTACACATTGATATAAAAAGACCGAAATCCGTTGGAAAATTTAGTAAATGAATTCCATGTCTAGATGCATAATAATAAACATAAACAAAACCTATATATAAATGGGCTACACTCACGAATCAGGATTGCTTGGCACCGTTAATTTCATGTTACAAAGCATTATGAACATGAGAGTGAGAATGAAAATATAAAGAAGATCCAACTCGAGGTGGCATTCACTAAATAAAATTTTATCATATATGGTGAAAAAATCAATAGGAACCTGACGCGTCTTCGAAGTAAAACAAGTAGATAAGAAGAAAAACGCATCAACCAAATATTAGGATTGATTTTTGATTATTTTTTCAACAAAAAATGAAAGATACATTTGATCTACTATTTGAGAGATAGATCGACTCTCTCACAAACCTTAGGCACAGCTAGGAACAAGTCCAAAGAAAAACTACAACATACACAATCACATGATGAAAATAAAACCACCCAATTAACTCTAATATAAACATTCCTACTTCCCTCCCAAATCTAAATTCAAATTAGACTTCTTTCCCTAAATAAACATTTCCTAATTCTCTCGAAAACAAATCAGCCCTCTTTCCCTAAATAAACCTTTCCTAATTCTCTCCCAATCAAATCAACCCTCTTTCTTTAAATAAATCTTTCCTAATTAGTTCCCTCTTTAATTCTTCCTTACATAATGAATAATAGATCCCCTATGCCCCACAAGGGTGTATCAAAACTCCCTCCTAAAGACACACCATGTCCTCAAGATGGAAGGATGTGATCTATCTCCTAATCATCTTGTATAGTGATAGGAAACAATCCACATAATTCAATAAAACTGTAGAATTTCAGCAATATCCAGCAATAACAATGCAGGATTCACAAATTATGTAGGAAAATTTGAGAGAAAAACAGTTAAAAATCAATAAGGGAAAAATTGAAACAACTCGATACAATGAATCTTCGATTCGAGAGGAAGATTCCACTCTTCAAATTTCTAGCTGAAGCCTAGAGCCCAAAACCAAGCTTTAGATCTCAAATTCAGGTTATAAAACTCAAGATAACCCTAACCCTAGCAAGGCCAAACTAATTAAAGCAAAAGGATAAAAGTTTAATCCCTAAATAGCCCTAATTTGAAACTTGTTCAGCATAGTTTTCTTTTTTAGGGCCTTATAATCCACATAAAATCTCCAATTTTCATTCTTATTTCTCACCAGTAGAATTGGGCTGGAAAAGGGCTCACACTTCGCCTGATAATCCCTCTGCATCGAGCATGTCTATGAACCTCTCTATACCATCCTTCTGAATTTGTGGGTATTGGTATGGTTGAATATTATAGGAGAAGCTCCCTCTTTCAAGGTAATGGTTGGCGATAATCCACTAGGTTGCTGAAAAACCACAGGAAATTGCTGCAGAAGTTGATGTACACACTTAGGGACCTCAATCGACTCTGAATCTTGGACCTCCTCAAGGCTCTGCAACTCCACCAACTAACCCAACCTACTCCCTGTATCGCCTTGACCATGGTTTGAGTGAAATCATGATTCTGTACATGCTGACATCTCCTCGCAGCACCACCCTCTTCCCTTCCACTTGGATCTCCATAGTTAAAGATTTCTAGTCCATCTTCATCTCCCCGATCATATGTAACCACTTTATCCCTAGGATCATATTAGTGCTCTCAAAATCCAAGGGAAGAAAATGCTCAACTATATGTATGCCTGAGTGTCAGCACCAACCTTCTGTATACCCCCCTACTCTTCACATTCCCTATCCCCATCATGACTTCAAAGCTCCCTGCATCCTACAACTTCATTCCCAATTGCTCTGCGACCTAATTTGATATGAAGTTGTGAGTAGCCCATTATCCACCAAGACCACCACTGGTCGCTCCATGATATATCCCTTCACTTTCATGGTGTGATTTTGAGTAAATCTCACCACTGAATTAAGGGGCACTTCCACCATATCAAGGTATAGGTGCTCTCCTTCCGCTTTTTTTCCTCTTCCAACTCTATGTCGGTCTCCTCCCCATCATAAAGTATAAGGACCTGGAGTGTGCAGTTTTTGCATCGATGACCTGGTGTATACTTCTTATCACATCGGAAGTACAAACCCTTCCCTCTCTTCCTGCATCTTTGCCTCTGTGAGGCACTTGAAGTTGAACCTAGGGTGATTTCCCCCACCCTTCTCCCTCAGCGCCTCGTGACAGTGAAGTCGAGGCACTTCTGTTGGAGCCTCTCGTGACTCCGCTCCTATAGGTCTTCTCTATCTGGCTCCTATCCTATGTTTTCTGAGTTTGCTCCATCGTCCCCCTGAACCCCTTCGGTCTCAACAATAGGAGGTTTGCCTGTATGTTGGGCTTTAGGCCCTTCATTTAATTTTCCTCCAACGTTGCCTTCGAAATCCCCCGCAACCGTCCTAACAGCAACTCAAATCTCTCTCTATGCTCCAAGACACCCTTCTCGAGTCAAGACACAGAATTGCTCGTGCATGTCTTCTTCTCAAATGGCTCAGAAACATTCCAACAAGCAATCCTTAAACTCCACCTACGGGTGGATCAGATATCTAGCCTCCCTTCACTGCAAACCAAACTAGGGCTTTCCCCTCCAAAAATAGCCTTGCTATCATAAGCTTCTTCTTCTCATTCAAACCAATCACCGCGAAATACCTTTCCACCTGATACACCCACCCACGACCACATCCTCTTCAAATATCTGCATCTTCAATTTCCTTACCATAGTATCTCCATTTCAACTTCCTTTCCATCCAATGGTTCCCCCCATTTATCAAGGGTGGGAATCCCACCTTTCTTTCCTCTTCCTTGTATGGTCTGATCCTCCTGGCTCGGCTCGATCCCCCCTATTTCAGGTTGCTCGTTCCCCTTACTCAAAATGCCTCCCATAGTGGTTGGCCACCCTACCACCAAATTCCCTCATTATTGTCCCCCATCCAGAAACCCTAATTCCACCCTTATCGGTGCCCTATGAGGTGGCTCTTGATCATACTTGTTGACAATAAATGGTGCACCACAATGCAAAGGTCTATTTGATGTCATAGCGCATAGTACACGACGCGATGCACACCATTTTGAAAATGACAAAAACTATAAAATAATGTTGAAATATCATTAAACTAAAATATCACTATAAAAAATTAGGTATGAATATAAAATATCATTAAATTGAAACACAAACTATCATACTAATGAAAGGCAACCATAGTCATGCTTAAGTTCAACTAAACATCATTTCAATATCTCATTATTCAAAATATTGCAATTATTTTTTTAAAAGATAATGATTTTATAAGAATTTACTCTACTTTTTTTGGGAATCATCTTCATCAACAAAGACCAAAAAAGTTTTATTATCTTTATAAGCATTTTCTCCTATTTCATAATTCTCTTCATTACCCTCAACCTCATTCTCAATAGCAACAATGTCATGCCTAGATGAAGATTCCTTTTCTTTGCCTTTAGATCTCTTCCGAATGTTGTAGCTTTTATCATAAATACCAGTAGCCTTAGCAACAATAGTCCATGCCAAATCTTCCTCTCCAACAATAAATTCATTTTCTTCATTCGACTTATCATCCAATTTTCCTGTTAGTCACTCATTTGTACCATCTATCTCAGTCGAAGAAATAGGGTCAATAACATCATGGTGATTATATCTCTGAATCAATACTCTATTATATTTTTCATAAACTAAATCTTTTGGGCGATGATGATTCATTTTGCTTTTTCATTTGCTATGAAACTGCAACTAAAACATCATTACATTATTATACTATGAACATGTATAAAAAAAGTAATACATACTCCGTAAAAATAATTACATATTCGAATATACTCCAATTGCGTTCACATCCAAATGAATATGTTAGATTAAGGACTTTGATAACAAAATTTTGTAAATGAGGAGCTCCTTGGTCATATGCCAACCACCAATCAGCCGGAAGAAATGAAACATTTATTTTCTATTTTTATAGACTTGTTAATCCATCTTCATTTTTTGCAAATAATTATACCTGAAGATCGGTAGTTTTTTGTCTTACAGCGGAAGGAATATTAAACAGATCTTTACCCCTAATGTATAAATTTAATTAATTACTGATTTTGTTTTCTTCTTCAACATTTTTTAGGTAATCTTCCAATACATAAATAAATACCATCAACTATTTCTTTATCCTTGATAATATTAGGATTATTAAAGAAATATTCAGGATTTATATAGAGGTTTGTGGATTTGCACTTCCCATCTTCTATAAATATTTTTAAAAATTTGATCATATTTATCACTGTTACTGAAGCTTATAACAATTGTTTCTTTTGCTTTATCCATTGGTTTATATATATAAGCTATTGGGGGATTCTTCTCTCCATTAACTAATCTATGAATCTTTAATAAAGGACCATTTATTTTTTTAGGCATACACAATAGTGTTTCAGAATGATTGTTGCATGTTGCATGTTGAGATTGTTTTGCCTTCATCTCTTTCGCATAAGGAGCCAAAATAAACTCTTCACAACTAAACATTTTCTTCAAATTCAGTTGCGATTGATGAAAATGTTGTAAAGTCAAGAAAGCTGTTACAAAACGAGTCTTGACGGGTTTGATAAGCGCTCTTTGATCT